TCATTTAGCTGCACCTGCACAAGACTGGGTGGAGAAATACAGGGATTTGCCTGGTCAAATAAGCTCATAAGCAATAAGGATTTTCTCCACAGTGTCCTGTGCCCCTTCACTAGCTTCCTGGGTATCAGCAGTCAGTAATGTGGCTGTGGCTCTAACCTACTCCTTTGTTACTAGTTAGTCACCATCTTTGTGGGAGGAGAAGCAGCAGTGGGGCAAGGACAGCAGCTCCTGTCCTCCACAGGTCCCAGGACAGCCTTTCCGAGTGAGACACAGGCAGATGCCTTACTGCAAACCAGTTAGGTAAGGTTCGTATGGGGGCCAATTCCAGAGCCCAATCCACTGCCCATCTTTCCAGTACTGAATTCCCTTCATTAAACTTACTTCTGCACGACACGTGAAGACACACTCTATTTTTCTGCAGCTGACATGTCTAACCCATTTGCTTCCTAGGTAAGGAGACTAGTAACTTGCCTGAGCAGAACTGATAAAGATCTTATAAAAGAGGTTGACTTTTCAGGAGAGCTGGTCCAGGCAAGAATGCAGACAGCTCTGTTTTCCTGTGTGATATTTGTTATTAAATATTATTATTAGTGTCAAGGAAGGGAGTATGGACGAATAGCCAAAGCATTAAATTGTGCCCTGTGTAAGTGTATACAGAAAATATGTCTTTTTCTCTTAAAAAAATTTTTATGTTGCCATTTAATTCATTGGGTTTTTTATGTTTTGTTTTGCTTTTACTGGTTCTATTTATTCATCCCATTCTTTTCTCACTCATGTTCCTATGGCTCCTTCATATTTAACTCATTTTTATACTATTTTTAATTTTTTCTTTATTTACTTATTTTTCATTTATCATTTGATACAGGGTCTTCACTATGCAGCTCAGACCCGTAGTGTTCCTCCTGTTTTCAGTATCCCCTGTTCTGGGATTATAGGCGTGCACCACCACCCCCAGACTCAGTCACTGGCTCAACATGCCCCAGGAGTGAGGCTGGCATGGCATGCTGACCACGGATCGAACCCTGGTCTCTGTGCTTGTCATAGCAGGCGCTTAGTCTGCTGAGCTATTTCGCCGACCCCATTTGTATACTCTATTCTAATAAAATGGCCTGTTCTTGAATAAATCCTCAGGGATATTAGAGACTCCCTAAGAATTCAGGCTGCATTGTTGGCCAGTGTATCCCTAGCACAATACTCACAATGGAGCTAAGTACACAATACACCTTATCTCATATACAAAGCAGCACCCCCATCCTAGGTGTCACAGTATGTGAATACCTGACTTCAGTTATTAAAGTGAATATTCAGGTGATGGGAGTAGGTAAATTCAGGTAAATATTACCACTTGGAGAATTGCAACAAGGTGGGAAATTGCTACCTGGGTATAAAACTTTCTATTTGTTCTGAAGACTCAGAGAACTAAGAAAACACGGTGCTTCTTGCAGAAATGAGGCAATTACTGCAAAAGATGTACTATGCAATTGTTTTAAAAGCCCAAACAAGGCTATGAGCACACGCTGCGCATATAAAGATGGCAAACTTTACAAACAAGTGACGCTTCAAGGATGCGAACAGTTCTTGTTGTAATGAGACAAAAATGAAGTTGCTCATCCAGTCATCCTTAAGGCCTCCAAGACCATGCCATCAACACAGCCAGTTACAAGTACATTTACCAGATGTCTGCTTTACCCCTTCCCTGTAAGGCTGAAGTTTTAAATGCCCCTCACTTTGCTGGTGAGGTACATAGATTGGGCATAAAGCTCAGCCCTTTCTGCACTTCCTCACCACTTGGCTTCTCTGTCTAGCTGGAGGCAGGATGCAGGATGCAGACCCCAGTTTATCTTAGGAGGCAAAGTGGTAGCCATGACCTATTTTCCTGCCTGGAGATCTGAGGTTGTGGGTTGCCCTCAGAAATCCTTGCTAAAATTGTCCCTTCACCCCTTGTGTTGTGTATGAACTCTCAGAACTTTTTCCCACTGCCCTAGATCCAGCTATATCAGCTGATTACTTTCCTGGGAAGTGGAAATTAGAAGGGCCCATAGCAGATCAAGATACAATTTGTATCTCTGTTTTCATCTGCACTAAAAGAGTAGGGTCTGAAATCAAAGAGGTGAAAGTGACTTTGGGCTTCTAGGATCTGTCCTTTCTAAGAATACAGCTCTCCTCTATAGCCAGAAGCTTTAAGATAGAGATCAAGTTCGCAAAGTGATGAGAAGAGACACCCCAAGGGTAAAGCATACCATCACCCACCAGCTGAGCTCAGGGTATCCAGGCAGCAGCACTACCTGCACCGCCCTCTTGATATAGGGGAAGTGAAACATCCAATCTCAAAGGTACCTGGGATGAGCTGGTGTTCTCTAAAATCAAAGAATGAATTTTAATAACAAATGGAGGTTAAAAACAGAATATATTTACTGGGGGGAAGAAAGCTCCTGTCCTAGAGAGGCACGGTAGGGGGACCCGAGTGGGTTGTCTTCAGAAAGCTGTCTCTTCCAGGGACTTTCATAGTGTAAAATCATGTAGTGAGGCAGGTGTAAGGTGGAGAATGTGGGGACTTACTTAGGTGGGCATGAAGTTGTCCCAAGCCAGCAGGTCAGTCAATGAAGGTCACCTGGGAGAGGAGCGGGGAATTGAGGAGGGGACAAAGGACAGGAGACGTGAGAAATAGAGACAAGACAAGATTCTGATCAAGTCTGTTTATTCAAAGGAAACTGGGTATATATAGTGGAGGCATAGGGAAATGACGTCGGCGGGTAAAAGGCGCGAGTAACTAGGCAACCCGGCTATGACAGGAAGTCCCACCTCCGGGACATAGCAGGAGACTTATGGGAAATAGGCGGGGTAAGAAGAATTAGGAGCTTAGCTCAGCAGAGGTAGGAGAAGAGGAAGCCAGCGTTACTAATGACGCTGATGCACCAAGAGAATTTTATAGGTCAGAGGCACTCAGGTGACCATTAAAGGATATGTCGCGTAGAGTCATGATGTGTCAGTTTCACAAGAACCCGGAAACCCACTTGCAATAGGATTGGAGGCCTGGAGTTATTGAGCCTCCCACATGAAGTGGGACAAGACTATGGGCAGCCAATGAGATTAGAAGCACCATTGCTCAGGTAAAATTGACTAAATCCAGTACCAAATGAGGAAGTGAATTACATAGCAAGTGGGCATGAATACAGGACAGGGTCTCTTCCTGTTGGGGGTTGGGTTAGTGACACTTTAGGGCTCTTTCAGGGTGATTGATACCTACTTAGAATGCTGATCCCTGATATGCATTCCCAGGGAAGTATGTGGCTGTATTTGTTTACTTCTGTCTTGATGTTGGCCCAAAGCGGGAGTGTCTGTCTTTTCCAAAGTTGCAAAGTCACTTTGGCTTCCATATTGTCTCCTTGAGGGCCTGGCCCTGTCTGACTGCCTATAATATTTCTGTCTAATTCAGCTGCCTCCAACACTCCAACACTTACCCTCATCCACTGCCCCAGTGTCTCTTCTCATGCTTCAGTACTTTCTGACCACTCTGTTGACCTCCTTTCTTATCCTTGTCTGTTACAGAACCCTGTTTCTGTTTTCTTTCATATCTCTTATTACAAGGACTAATGGTGCTTTTTTTCTTAGCTGTTTGTAAGTTTTAGTTCAAAAGACACCATATTTTTTTTATAATTTTTTAAAGTTTTATTGATAAACAGATAGCAATGAGACAGTTTCAAATCAAATCGGAAGTACAGTTTCAACAAATAATACACTGCACATATTCTTCTTAGTGGTTAATTGCTGTACAAGATGCGGATTTGTGATCCTATTTACAAACACCATTAGAACAAATCATTCTATTCATTAAGAGAATGCAACTATATATCTATCCTACCTACTTTGAATACACAGATACAAAATGGACATTCATAGGTATACCCCATTTTTTCTAAGTTCCGTTATTGAATACTATAGGTGTGTAAACTCAGCAAAATATTCTAAAAAAGAGTCCAGTAGCCCATAATAGCATTGGGTCTTCTGTTTAACTGGCAATGTCAGAAATTATTGACCTGAGTCCCCCACAGCTCAACTTAACAGCATGGCTTTATTTCTTATATTTTGTCTTCATACTTTTCTACTGGATGGTTAAGACCAAGGTAAAGCAGGACCTATGCAACAAGAGTTGTAGCTTTTTGGTCTGAGAAGGTCAGTGAAATGTCCTCAGGATTTATCCTGAGATCCTGTACCTCAGATTGTAGAGCCTTTTTCAGTGCAGCCATGTGGATGAGTCATGGCCATTGCTTGGCCAATGTGCTCTCTGTGAAAGCCTGAGAGAGTGTCTTCTCTCCATGTGACTCTCCTTAGGCCTACTCTACGTCATCGATCACTTTCCTCTTTAGCCCCATAATCTTCTTGATCAGAAAATTTGGGACACTACCGAGGTACATGACGTTACAGTACAAGTTCTCATATGTCCTGAGTCTTAATTGACCTTAGAAGGCTAGGGCCAAAATGTTGGCTTTCCTTGTATCCCTCCTTTTTCTCTAATTTTGGAAAGACACCATATTGATTTCACCTAAAAACACATTCCCAGCACCTTCCCTAATATCTGGAATGAGCAAGTGACTGAGTTTATGAAGGGGTGTCCTTAAAAACAGGACCCCAAATGGAAAGAATGATGAGATTTTTTTGATGTCCCACCTTCAGTCTTGAAGGGTTAGGCATTAGGAGGCACACATTCATACTGAAACTTTCTACATGAAGAAGTACTAAAAAGTGGAATGAACTGTTAACACAGTGATTAGCTTTTTGAAGGTACTCAAGATCCAGTTAGACTACCCCTGCCCAGTACTGTCATGTGGGGAGAAAGCTTTGGTACTGCTGGTGCCTGCCGATGCTCCAGCTCCCTCGCTCTGATTCCAGGTAACTTTTCCCTCTGTTAAACTGGAAATAGCATATCCTTTGCTCTTTTCTCTAAATACATTGTTGACTGATACACTTCTCTGCATTGCTCTTTTCTTTTGTGGATGTAGATGAAGTCTTGTCTGAAAACTTTCTGGACTATAAGAACCGTGGAGTCAATGGTTCTCATCGGGGACAGATCATCTGGAAGATAGATGCCAGCTCTTACTTTGTGGAACGTGAGTACTTTTGCCATTTTTGTTGCTCAACAGGTAGAGCAGAAGTGGAATTCAACTGCTCTGTTCTTTGTTCTGATGGATGATCTCCAATTAAAATGCACCATGTAATAAAGAGAGGTAGATATAATGATAGTTTTAAGAAGATTTTTGGGAATGACTAGTGAGCTCTAAAAAAGTTCAATAGCAGTCGTGGAAACCAGTCTAGAGGACTAGTCCTTACTATTAAGGAAAACTTGGGCTCATCTTTCATAAGCCTCTAGACTAAGGGCTCTTGGTTCTCACTCCATGACTTCTCCAAGCGGTCCCCAGTTTTGCCATAGTTGAGTCCAGGTCTTCGCAACATGTGTGCTGTCATCCAGTTTTGCTCTTGCTCAACCCTTCCTTCTGAGGCTCCTTGCCCATGGCCCCAGCACGCTGGTCACATCGCACCTTTCCCCTTGACTCTCACCACTATGCTGTGGGTGGCAGGGGGGTGGGGAATGGTGGTATTTAATACAAATCTTACTGATCTACCTACATTTTTGTATGTATAAACTTGGTGTCCTATATTTTACTCAGATATTTTTCAAGATTTTCTTCCATCTTTTTATTTTTAAATGTATTTAGTACAGGGTCTCACTACACAGGTTGGACTTGTAATGATCCTCCTGTTTTTCAGCCTCCCAAGCACTGGGCTTACAGGGACACACAGCCACCACCACGCCAGTCTCAACTGCCATCTCAGCATGACCCAGGGCAGAACCAGCACAGCAGGCCAGGGTTAAACCCCCAGCCCCTGTATCTGCCTATGCAGGTGCTTTAATACACTGAGCTATCTGGCCAGACCTTCTTCCATCTTTGAAAATGAATCATTTTGATAGATATGGCAGGGTCTGTTCAATTTGTGGCCATACTTGTATTTTACATCACATGAGGAAATACCTACAGAGGCTTCATGTTTGCCAGCTGAGGGAAAAATATGCATGACTGTTAGTCCACAAGTCTTTGTCTTCTACATGAGTATGGGAGAATACTTCCATAGGCAAACTGTTTTGCACACTTCATAGCTCCTAGCAGGTATTTATTCTTTCAGGATAGCAGGTCTGAAAGAAAATGAAATAATCTGTTATTCTAGGGGTCCAGTTCTCAGAGAAAAACATATATATGAAATTGAGGTTATCACCATATTAACTTGTGGGGCAAGAAAAACTATATTCTCCAAAATGCTTTGCTTCTGTTTTCATTTATTCTCATTGTCATTTATTCACCTGATAAACATTTTGTAAGACCTACTACATTCGAAGGACTGCCAACATTAAGATGCAAGGCCCCCCGTCTACCCTTCAGAGGCTTGTAGTGTCTCTGCACCCAGAAACAATACTGTCTTTGTTGCTTTCCCATTGCTGGGACAAAATCTCCAACACTGAAAACTTAAAGGAGGAGAAGTTTACTTTGGCTCAGTTTCAGACCATGGTCAGCCATCCCAAGGCAGAAACAATAGAGCACAAAGACATCACAGAAGGAAAGGTTACAGCCCAGGGCAACCAGAAAGGAGAGAGAGAGGAGACCAGAGAGAACTAGAACCTTCCAGAAGCCTCCAGTGATCACTTCTGATCAGGCCTCCTCTACTAGCAGCACATTCAGCTTCTGAACTCATCAGTGGGTGACTTGTTGATGACTGTAGCCCACATCAGCCAGTCACTGCGCACACAAGAGAATAGGGGACCTGGGGATGTTAGTTCTAAACCACAATGAACACTAGTACACTTTGTTGTCTTGGCTCATGCAGAATGAATACCCAGCCACAAAATGTATGTTATTGGGTTGTGGAGTAGGCACATGATTTCATGAGATGTGGTTTAGGCATAGACATAATAAATTTCCTAACAAGAGGGTTGTTTTTTCTTTATGTATGTCTCCCTGACTTTAGCTTTTCTTCCCCTAATCCACCTCCACACTCATGGCAGACAAAATTCCTCAAGCCCAACCCTGCTACCATCTGCCCTGAAGCTTCCTGGCTCCTTTTCACTGCATTGCCTGAAACCCTTCTGTCCAACCATAAAATCACCCACATCCTTAAGTCTCTGTGTATGTCCCCAGCATAATATTTTGCCCTAATCATGCCATCCTCCCCTCCCCCAACAAACAGCATCACTTATCAAGAGGGACATCAGCTTGGCTTGGGTATAAAGATGACTACAACAAGCAGTATCTAAGCTCCTAAGTCTCAGTAAAAGCAGAAAGGATAAGCACTTGAATTAGCAATGATTGTTCAGCATCATAATTAATGGTACATGCCAATTTACATTGGCAGCTTGGTGAAAGACTTTTTCCTTTCCTATTGTAGATTTACTTTTTCCCTTGAGTTATAATTAATTTAGAAATTGGCACAGCACCCAGGTTAGGGCCAAAGTACAATAGCAGCAAATTTGTGTTATAAATTAATAAATCAATGATGCCACTCCCTTCAAGGCAGTCTTCAAAGATCTCTATGACATTTTCCCTCTACATTTGGATCACATAAAAACCTCCTGTCTTCTCCCCCAAGTCAATGAAAAAAGAAAAATTTGTTCTATAAATTAATTTATCAATAGTGCCATCCTTCCAAAGTAGTCATTAAATATTTCTATGAAACATGGAAAATTTTCTGCACATTTATCTCAAATAAATGATCATCTCACACATTTGTCTTTCATCAGCAGCATGAAAACACACCTTGAGGTTTTTTTAGAAAGACATTAGCATAGAAATCTAGCTTTGCGAAATATATAAACATAGACATAATTGAGTGCAAGCATATTCAAATTTGGTTAAGGAGTAGTATCCTATGAAAAAAACAAATGCTTTGCAAAGGGTGTGTTCAAGATAACTGAACACTGAATGTTCTGGAAAAACAGCATTTTCATTTTTTTAAAAATAATCTTATTGAGAAACAAATAGCAATGAGATAGTTTCAAAATCTATAGTAGGACAGTTTCAATAATTAATACATTGCATATTGTTGTCTTCTTAGTAGTTGTTCATACTCCAAGATGCAGACCTGATATCTTGTCCACAAACATTATTAGTACAAATCTTTCTATTCATTGAATTAAGAGAAAGTAGCTAGTTAGGGGTCAGGGAGATAGCTCAGTAGAATAAGCGCTTGCCTGGCAAGCACAAGGACCTGAGTTCAATCCCCGGTTCTGAAAGAGAGAAAGAGAGAGGGAGAGAGAGGGAGAGAGGGAGAGAGGGAGAGGGAGGGAGAGAGAGAGAGAGAGA